ATAATCTGTAACTCTTTAAGGCATAGGCATAGTTAGTATTAACTGTTTTTCTTCTACTTTGACTATAGACAATTGCTTTTTGAACGATTTTTACTTATTAATTTATAATAATATGTAATAAATATTAATTATTAATTTTATGTAACGGTCGAGTTCTAATTAGTTTCGTACTTTGAAGTATTTGGAATGATTTCAGCTTTAAGGGACAGAAGATAAGTACCTGTTCATAATTACTGACTTAGAAATAACTTGACATTTTCCTTCTTTTGAACCAGCTCCTAAATACACAAGATATCCCTTAATTAAACTTCAAACAAGCGTTTGCTTTATTTAATAAGCCGTTCTTAGTTCAAAGATTTCTCCTGAATGTTTTAGAATTAGGTCTCGGTTCGTAGAGCGAAAAGCCTTAGATTCCGCAAATAATTTTTCACATTTAATTGGCTTCGAGTTAATGAAATTGAGATAATCGCTCTTATCGGGGGCAGTTTACAAGAAATTTATTGGGATAAGAACTTCAGCTCAGAAAAAGTTTATTTTCAAAAGCACTTGTTTACAGAAAGTAAGACGTTATGTTTGAAAGTAACTGGATAAGTGAAACTCTCTCGAATAGGGAAACACATCTTCTTCAACTTGCTAGTACTGTAAATGTATTATTTACATCATTACAAGTTTTATGCATAAATTGTTACTAAATTGAATTAACAAATGGTGTTTGATTTCGATTGAGGCTACAATCTGTTTAAATTAAAAATTACACATTTTCATACACGATTTGTTAATTCATTTTATTCAGTGTCTACACCTCATTTTCTACATTGTTAGTGAATTGTTATGTTCGCATTCGCAAGAGCCATTTTGCCCTTTTATTAAGCAATTTTAAACAATTTTTTTACGTTTTGCGTTAGCAAAGCTGAAAAATGATTGAACATGAGGGTTGAATAAAAAATAAAAATCTTTTTTTTGTAATCTGAAACCAAAAGCGCAAATAGGTAAACGTCATTAGTTAATGGCCAGTTTTAGTACCTACTTATTAGAAAAAACTGAAAATGGCTCGTTTTATCTAGCATCACTATTTTTGTCGCCTTCCTTTTGATATGGTTTTTCGCAAATATCTCAGTTATTAATAACAATTTTTTTTACTATTTTGTTGTGCTCCCAAAACAAACCCGAACAACACCTCCAGAGGAATAACGGCAATTTTGAATCACTCTGTATTTGTTTTCGGGCAATCTCTAAAGAGAAAAAATAAATAATGTTGAATAAGTGATTGAGTTATTTAGTAAGTTGAGTTGGCAAGTAATCAGTTTCATTCGAGTATTATTATCAAAATAGTAATAACGAAGAAGTTTAACTTATCATTATTATAACCACGATAAAAAAATCTATAAAATACTTCAGTACCTACTCCGATAAGAACAAAACGCAATGCAAAAGAAGATTCAGAAGAAAAAATCAACACCATCAACTTCTTTTGAAGTTGAGGATGAAGCTGTAAAATCTGTAAGTTCTGCAAGAAGTTACTATTTATTGTAAATCATAATATTAAAGAAACTCTGCCTGCATGTTGGATGAATTGAGTAGCTCAGCAGCCATGTTGCCGGACCCAAGTCCCGACAAAGCTGTTTTCCGGGTTCTCAGGTCAGGCTAGAAACCTATCTTGGGTAGAAAACAAAAAAGGCTCACAGAACAAAGATAGTAGCCTCGGATAAGACAAATAAAACTTATACCTACCCGATGAGATTAAGGAAAAGAGGATTTGGGAAACGAAAACACCAACGAATAGCCACCTGGAAGGTCACATCACTAATGAATAAAGACCAATAAATAATAATCGAACTCCAGATCCGTAATATAGATATATGTGTATTGTCAGAAACAAACAATAAGGACAAGGAAAATTCACAATTGGCAGAGTATTTACTGATTTGCAATGGAAGATTAACAGATGACCGAGCGGCCTCAGGAGTGGGTCTGTTAGTGCACAAAAAACATAATAGACATCTGCTATATTCATGACAGACCACTGCTTACTACGATTAAGTTTACGAACGTGCTACGACCAGCTCCAGAACACTATTGACATAATACCAAAAGCTGAGTAAGTTACAATTTTGAGAGATCTCAGTAGCAGCAACTAGGGTATCAGAATAGCTCCGGGACATAATATGGAGAAAGAAACATATGAGTACTGAAGGCAAAACGCCAATTTACAACACGTGTGTAAGATCTATTATGACCTACGCAGTAGAAACACAAGCAGAAACAGCCGTTACTAAACAACTGCTAAGAACAACCTAAATGACGATCCTGTAATAACTTACGAGCAAAACGTGAACAGAGTGAGAAACAGGGATATCAGAGTCCATTGTGACATTCCAGACCAGATACTAAAAGATGGTCCAGAATAAGAAGACGAGCATGGGGAGACCACGTCGACGGAATGGATGATAATCGACTACTCAATATTGCAAAAGAGGATAAACCAACCAACCGTAGACCTCCAGACCCCCCAAACAATGGATCGAAATCTGGACATCGTAGTCAGAACTTAGGCTGCAGCTTTGAAAAAAACCAATACATTGCATTATAATAATAAGCAGAAGAAGATAATATTAAAGACAGAAACGGCAAGGATCTTTCCTATCGTCCTACTCCTTACCTCGATTATAAGCAGCAACTGTAAAGAATAGAAAACCCACACTCACCTGGTCAATGTTAGATTCTTGAAACCTCTAGCACGTGTTTCGGACGTGGACCAGCCCCCGTAGGATAATACACTACAATCTATACTATAAGACGATATGTATTAGTCCTAATGAGCGGATATATATTAATTTTAATGAGGTAGATATTGTAATCAAATTCCAAAGATACTTAAATAGAAAGCGGATAGCTTTTAAGTAATTTCCATTGTAATTCTCAGAAGTAATAAACGTTTTTAAAAGCTCGTTCCCCGTCTTCAGTTCATAATTGGCGCTGCGAACAGGATAGTGTTCACGTTAAGTTGAAATATTTATTTATTTAAACACTATCTGAAACGAATCGGGTCTTCATCGGTGCAACCTTTCTGCAATCGTTGATCCAGAACTAAAAAGACAACTCTAACGAATGGACGTTGCGAGTAAGCGAACTACATCGGCTAAAGCAACCTTCTTTGCAACTTTCTTTAAAGAAGAATATGCTTGCTGAAATTCTTTAAAGAAGAACCAACAAGCCTTGAATTTAGATATTCCTACCGTAGACGATCTGAGTAACTTAATAAGAATCCCAAATTTATCCAACACTTCAAAGGACTCTAACACCATAAATGTTGAATAATTTTAAATTCGTGTAAATTCGACACCAATGGAATTATTTCAATGGAAATGCACCTGTAGCTTAACAGCTTAACCATATTGGTTTTTGCGAAATTCTAACATTCTAGCCGGGTTTTATGTAGGTGTTAGAATGGCAATTCTGCTATTAGGAACTAAAGGATGTTTTTGGGTAGTTGGTTTTAAGCGCTCTCATAGGAAAGTACAGTTGGTTGGTTGATTTCTTGAGTTTTGACAAAGTAAGTGATAAATTATAGAAAAAACTAGTTAAAAAGTGCGCTACTAAAGTTTTATCAGTTGGAAAAATCAGACAGTTTTTGCAATAAATGTCGCATAAACAACATAATCAACGCGAATAAGCAAAGTCATGTATAAAGAAGCAAGTCTGGCAAAACGTTTAACTGAATCTTGAATGTTATTATCCGCTCCAAACGTGTTAGATTATGATTTTAATGCGTCATTTGTGCATTATTAGTAGGAAAGTTTTCCGCATTTCTCTTAAATAATTCCAAAGATTAACAGTAGAATGGAAACAGCGATAGTCCATTTGCATCAATCTCAGTTCATTAAAATTTGATGCTGACGCATGTGAATTACAGGCAAATAGCAAATAGCTGGTGTTTAACTAGGAATTTAACAGAATTTTTTCGTCTTTTGCAAGACGAACGACCCAAAACGTATCAACGATATTTCTTCCGTAACTCATTTTATTTAACAACAGCCGCAACAGCAGCAATAGCTTTGTTTTCACTAGAAAACTCACATCTTAAATTAATTTTTCGCATTTTTCTTGTGGTTGTTCCCAAGCATTTTTTTATGATGATATGAAGCTGGCCAATTATTAAGGACACAAATTCCGTAATAATCTCTGAGTCAAACTGGTTAATGGAAAACACTATCGTTATCGTTTTTATTATGAGAAAGCGCTAAATTTTGATTTATTGGATTCACCAGGTTTCGTAATAAACCCCAATCGAAGTTAATTGAAAAACCAGAATCGCATTTTGATTGGTCTCAATTCGCCATCTAAACATATAAATCAATGCGAAATTAACGAAAGACACTGTGTTGATGTTCTTGATAGAGAGCAAGTCAAGGTAAAGTTCAATCTGCCAGATGCTAGAACAAGAAACAGCAGGTCAAAACCAAAAAAAAATTCCCCCAATCAAACTGAAATTGTACAACAAACACTAGGAGTTCTAAAGTGGATTTTGCAAAAATCCCAAACGAAAAAAGTTAAAGTTGTTTCGGATCTGTGTTATGCCAGATAACCTGTCCGCATGTTTCAATTAAGCAGCAATTAGATATTCCGATGCTAAAGGTCACAAGGCACAAACAACTGTTGAGTAGGCTTCTCTGTTCAATAGGAGCATCAGCTACACAAAAAACAATTCTATTTCATTTAATTACTCCTATATATCCAGCTGGTTCGACTCGAATCGAAATGTGATGGTCGGGTTCCAATGAAGAATTGTTCTTTTAGATCTTAGTCAAATTTTGGGCTTTTCAAGAAAAAATAATCAGTCGATAGTTTTCCTGCATCATAGATGGAACAAACCCCTTGATCCTAATTATAGCTGCATTTCCAACAACTTGGTAGACTTTACGTTGAAAAATCCGGATTTTTTCCGGAGAAAACCAATTTGAAATGATTATATAAAGGCTGACTGCTGCTCTTCGTTTCAGAACTATTGCCTGATCGTTGGTATGTTAACTATCATCGCAGACATCTAATTACTTCACATCAAATACGAGATACAACAACAGATTAAACAGCGCGATCATGTTTAGTCGGGTAGCATTTGCTTGGTGCCTATACCACATCGCGGTCCAGAGTGATGTGTTGAACAAAACCGTCTACAGTCAGCCAGTAGCAGTCAACTCTAGAAAAACCACGTTAGTACAAACAGAGGCAGCAGCAGATAAACAGTTTGATTTTAAGAATAAAACAGAAGTGTCAAGTGAACGCGCTGTGAATGCAAATGAAAGTGATGGCTCTGCAACTGCAGGTTCTTCAGGTTCTGCAAGGCTCGATGTTAACGAAACAAGAATTGGCAAGAGTCACAAGCGGCAATTTTCTGTTGTAGAGTTGCTGACAACGACATTTCCCAAAAAAATCTCAAATGATACTGGATTGAACCCTTGCAAAGCTGGTAAGTGACTTAAATTTGAGGTTCATTGGAATTATTACAAGACACAACTTACTGATTTTGTGGCAATTAAAACCAGCTATCTGAATGAATTTTCAAAACTTACCACTGTTCAACGTTTAACCAATTGCGTGTTAAATTCGTATTTTGGAAAACAGCAACGTATCTACATTTTTGAAAGACCAGTTAAACCTGTCCTAATTACCTATAAACTTGAGGTAATTGAGACAAATTTTCCATAAGTTCTAGAGATTATTTGTATCAATAATCGCAGATAAACTCACTCTGTACATTGCTGTGCAGGCAAGAAATCCTAAACTCACTAAGGATTATAAAATAAATGCCTTGCAAGTGGTGGCTTGAGCTTTTAAATGATTGCGTTTCTCACAGTAAGCGCAGACAAACTCACTCTGGATATTGTGCTGTGCAGGCAATAAATCCTAAATTCGCTAACAATTATAAAATAAATGCCTTGCAAGCTGTAGCTTTAGCTCAGAAATGCTTGGGTAAATTTGATCCAGATTTGTTTCTCGATGACATAGCCATCACCTTTGAATTATCGAGACAGAGGAATAGTCCAGTGGATGATGAAGAAAAGCATAAACTTCTTTCGGACCGCGCCAAGAAAATTTTGGAGAAGAAGAAAATCTGGTAAGCACAGAACTAGCTGTATTATTTTTGTTGGACTTGCTTTTTTCGTGTAAGGGTCCATTAAATGTTTCATTTCTTCTGAAGTCTCGATTGAGGAATTTTGAGAAAATCAACCACTGAACCAACCTCTATGTGGCAAACTATTAAAAACTAATAATTTGGGAGCATTTTAAAAATGTGAATCTCTCCCAAAGTTTTCTCACAGCAAATGTGAACTGGAATTGTTGATAGTTTCCAGAACATTAAATAAATTTCACTAAAATGCAATAAATCCACGCCCAGTTTTCTAACAGGTCTCAGTCTACAATGTTTGGAATTCAAACGACCCTCAAAATGAGCGCAATGCCAAACACTCGAAAAACCCAACACAAACCGAAAACCACTTAACAAAAGTCCCTCGAACACTATTTCTTAGAACTGGTTGAGCAGCTGACTACTTGTAAAAAACATTTTAATAGGAGCTTCGAATTGATAATCCTGGAAGTAACAAAACTTAGAGTTTCTACCATTTAGACTCAATTTAAAAAATAAACAGCACTGCTCGAGACCGTCACCACACTCTTCCCATTGATTATTTTTGTAATATTAGAACAAGTCAAAGTGAACTTTACCTCTATACCTAATACTTTTCGGTTTAATTCCTTTTTCCTGAAGCTGACATTAGCTGGCAATTCTAACGCTACTCAGTCCACCCTCGAACTATCTGCTATCCCCAGAGGAATTTGTTTTAATGATTTTTCCAAGATTTTTTAATAAGGAATTATGCGCTGCTGATGTGCCGACTTCCTCCATTGGCCAATTTGTTTAAAAAATTGTCTTTAAAATATTCAGTACATTTCCATGATGTTTCATTTAGTCTTGTTTGCTTACTGATTCTTCTTCCTCCGGAAAGTGTACAAGAGTTCAAAGATTCTCCTTAATGGTAATTTAGATTAGTGAGATCCATAGGCAGTATGCAAGCTTTCTACTGTCTGTTTCCTCTAGAAGCCTCAATATGTTAGTCCTTTTTATCTAAAGATAAGTTCTTTCATTCCTTCACTGATGGAGGATTCTGGCTGTCAGACTGAAGGGACACAATTCGAATAGAAAACTTGCATTTTTCAAGTTTTCGCTTTTTCCAAATCTACAACCTCACAATCTATAACAATATTGCCTTCAAGGGTCATCGATAAGTAACCCTACGGATTTGTAAAAAATTAATTCAGTGGTCAAAGAAACACAAAACATTTTTAAACAGGTGATAGTTCCTACTATCAACAATTCGTAATAGCTTCCAATTGATTGATAGATACTGGCATACGATTATGATTAATCAAAGCGAGCTTGTAGGAAAACCGACACCGTATCCAGGTCTCATAGAATCCCGAAACGGGCAGTAGCCACTACGATGAAAGGAAGACTATGGGATAATGGGATAATACCATATGAAATTGATGAGGGATGGAGCGCATATCGAAAAGCCTTGGCCAGGCAGGCCATGAGGCATTGGGAGAACCATACTTGCTTGAAGTTCATTGAAAGGAACAAAACTGAAAATGTGGACTTTATTTTCTTCACCGAGAAACCTTGCGGGTAGGAAAACTACCACTAGCTAAGAGTTGAGGGTTTATGCTTGCCAATTGCAGATGTTGTTCGTTCGTGGGCAAAAGAGGAATCGGCGCTCAAGCATTAAGCATAAGCGAAAATTGCGCAAAGTTTGGTATTGTTGTTCATGAAATAGGTCACGCAATCGGGTACTACCACGAGCACACCCGACCCGATAGAGATAACTACGTCCAAGTGTTCACGCAGAATATAATGAAAGGTCAGTGCAATTATCAATAATGTTAATTTGCGGCGAAAACATAAATACTTGTAGTTCCTTGATGTTGTGAACTGAACAATTAATAACAACAACCGGCTTTCTACGAGGGCACCAACAAACAATCTGGTTGTTTCAGGTCAGCAGGCCAACTTCCACAAACTGCCCACTGGCCGAGTAATTTCGCTGGGCCAGAAATATGATTACAATTCCATCATGCACTATGCTAGGAACACTTATTCGATCAACGGCTTTTTGAATACCATCCAGCCAATCCCGCTGGGCATAAAACCTCCGGGAATCGGTCAGAGGGTGGGCCTCAGCGCTGGGGATATCGAGCAAACCTTAATTCTGTACAACTGCCCAAGTAAGCAAAATAACTTGAAACCAAATTTTAATTGCTCATCGCTGAATCTGACAACATTTTCAGAATGCGGCAGCACTTTCCAGACAATATCCGGTTCGTTTTTTCCCCCCAAAATGAACGTCAACGCCCCACGAAAATCGCTGGCATGTGAGTGGAGAATCACTGCCACTCCTGGGGAGAAAATTATCCTCAACATAACGTCAATGGAAATTTTCAAGTCCCCAAATTGCTCCAGAGATTTTGTCGAAGTACGCGATGGCCATTGGAAAAAATCAAAGCTTTTAGGTAACTCAGCCCTTTTAAAACAACTGTAGAAACTACATAGATAGTTTCCAGGAAAATTTTGTGGGCGGGGCGACATTTTCAACATCAGATCGGACACCAATCGGATGCTGATCGTTTACCAGGCCGCCACTATCAATACACACACTGGATTTTTGGGCAACTTCAAAGTTTTTTGTGGAGGAACGTTGCATGTCACCTCCATCGGGTAAACATCCAACAGGTTTGGCCGTTGTTTCTCGAATATTCCTCTGATTGCAGATATCTAGCTTCTCCAAATTACCCCGACGACTATCGCCCTAACAAAGAATGCATCTGGAAGATTACTGTTCCCGATCAATATCAAGTGGCGCTAAAGTTCCTCAGCTTCGACTTGGAGCACCATGCGGAATGCAGTTACGATTTCGTCTCAATCCATGGCGTATTGGATAAGAATGCTTCTCATGTGGCCACTCTTTGCGGACAAACTGTTCCCGAAAACATCGTCTCATCGTCCAACCAGATAATTATTAAATTCGTCTCCGACAGGTACGTTTGCTCGGTAATCTCCCGCACTCTCTCCAGCCTGGTGCTTCCAGGTCAAAGGAAAGAGGAGGATTCTCCGCGAAAATTTTCGCTGAATACAACGAGTGCGATCGGAAGGACCATGGATGCGAGCAAACATGCATCAACACCTTGGGAAGCTACATGTGTGCGTGCAGACAAGGCCTGGAGCTACAGTCAGATAAAAGGAGCTGTGCTGGTAAGTTTCTACGAACGGGACTTAATCTCTTTGCCGAATCTTTTAAAGGCCTTTTCTAGATGCATGTGGCGGCACCTTCAAGGCGCCAATCGGAATAGTCACCTCTCCAGCATTCCCCGAACTGTATCCTGGAAGCAAACAATGCACTTGGATCATAGAAGCGCCTTTACAGCATATTGTTGTCTTCAACATCACGTATTTGGACGTAGAAGGAAACGACTATGACGATCAGGTTAGCTATGGAAGAAATTGGGTTTAGAGATGGGAGATGCATATTTGGGTTTTAGTTGTGCGAATACGACCAGGTCAATGTCTCCAGCCTATTCAGCAATGGGAAATACAAGCAGCATGGCTCGTTTTGTGGTACCAAAAGACCCAGCATTATTTTTTCCGAGAGTAATGTCCTGGAGATTAGCTTCGGATCGGATGACAGTGTCCAACATACTGGATTTGCTGCGATTTATTATATTGGTGAGCTCATTTTCCTCGTTCATTTCTAGGTGATGCATCTGAGGGAAAACAGATACTCAGGAGGGAATCGTCTGGTAGCTTATTGAGTTTCCGCCAGATTGCCACATAAGCTTTACAGCACTCTGCATTTATTTCTTCAACAGGATAATACTCATCCAAAAACAACAATGACTTAGTGAAATTGGCTGACACTCTTGTGATAATGCAACGAAAATCACTCACTCTTCTTGTAGATCCAAACGAATGTTCTATAAGAAACGGTGGATGTGAACACGACTGCGTTAATACACTAGGAAGCTTCCAATGCATATGTCGCACTGGTTTCACGCTACACGAAAACAAGAAAGACTGCATTCAAGGTGATTGTGTCCATGATATCTTCACTGTATCCGTACCGCCTATGTATGGGATAATCAACAGTCCCAACTATCCAAAGTATTATCCCGCATCCAAAGATTGCGCCTGGCATATCAGAACTTTGCCAGGGCACAGAATTCGGCTGATTTTCATGAACTTCAACTTGGAATCTCATCCTGAGTGCTACTTCGACAACCTACAGGTATAAATGTGCAAGATTAGTTGATTGACCAAATAAAACTCAATTTCACCTTAATTTCTTTGCAAACTAATCGATTACGTTTTTCTACATCTGTGATAAGACTCAAACACTTTTTTGTGCACTTTTAAGATATTTGATGGCGACTCATCAAAGTCCCACCAGAAAGGCAGATATTGCGGACGTCGAGTGCCTCTGTCCATTGACTCGACGGAAAACCAGCTCTACATGACTTTCAAGTCCGACAATAACGTCCAGAAAAAAGGATTCTCCGTCACTTACTATACGGTAAGTTTCTACCACCTGTTTTCTTCAACTAATGCTTCAACTCTCATTTTTGTAGCTTTGCGGAGGAGCTCTACGGGCTTCGAAAGGGAAGCGCCAAATCTACTCCCATCCTCTCTACGGAAATGCCTCATATTCAAGCATGAAGTCTTGCGACTGGTTTGTGATAGGAAATGACGGTTTCAACATTAAATTGTTCTTCAAAGAATTCGACGTGGAGCTAGCAGATGACTGCAGTTTCGACTACTTGGAAGTGTTTGATGGACTGGACAGTCACGACAGCAGAAGCTTGGGGAGGTTCTGTGGCAATCAGGTATTTTCGATAAAATCCTATCGCTTCGAAGCTAATGCTATTGTCTTCAGACATCCACTGAACTAACGACCACTGAAAAAGGTGTAATTTTAAGATTCCGAACTGATGTTCGAATAGTTGGACGAGGCTTCATTCTAGAATACGAGCTAGTTGAAAGCATTGCTAGCTGAGAAGAGGACGATACTCCGCTGGAATCGAGCTGAATGCTGGAACTATGTAGCGATTTGTGATATTTTTATGACGCTACTTTAATTCTGACTACAAGAACAGTACTACTGATTTTCAAGCCACTAATCTGGTTAAAAAGAACATGTTTTGAGAGTGGAACAAGTACAAACTCGTTTGTCGAAGAATTGGCTTAATTTATTTTCCTCCAAGGTGCCACATCTTTAATATCACACTTCAATAAAAGTAGACTATTAACCCCATAAACAAGGGGTTTTTATTAAAACGTTTGATTCTATTTTTTGATTTTGATCTGATTCAACGTTTCAAACTATTGGGAAGCAAAATAGTTGTACAAAAGAAGTAATTTCGCACAAAAACCCTGCGAAGTTGTTCTGGAAGGAAACGTTTGCACTACTCCGGTAACCTTGCATATCGAGCCGAAAACCCACCTTGTTGGTTTCGGTACCGCGGTTCTTATCACTCAACAGGTTCCGCGTAATGTTTGTGGTATTGAGGAAAGCTATATAAATTCAATGGAATTGAAATAGCAGTTAGACAGGGAGATAATATTTTTCCAAAACTTTTCACACTCACATTAGAGGACTCTAAGAGACTTTAAGAGACCATTTGCGCTTCGCCGATGACGTTATCATTTTTGCCTCGACGTGAGAGGATCTCCAACTAATGCTCGAACAACTCCATCACGCATCTGCCAAAGGAGGCCTGAAGATGAATTTGTGCAAGACAAAAATTCTAAACGAAAACGTAGAACAAATTACGGTCAATGGGCAAAGAATCTAAAACCTCAAAGAGTATTTACAGGTTGATTCAAAATTGGCGTCATTCYTTTTAAGGGGTGATAGAGGCTCCCTTGTTGGATAAGGCTCCCTTGTCCTGTGTGGGAGTACGGGAAAASTTCTCTTCTACAATTTTTTGATGAAAAGGCACAGCGGCAATGATGGTTTTTGTCATTAACAGTTAGTTACAGATGGATAGCCCCTGTCAATTATAACAAGAATTTGTCAAACTGTGACTTACTTTGAATTTCCTCTCACGAATTTGCGGAYATGCGATTAGTTCAGGGGAAATGCTACAGTAACACAGCAGAAGCTGAAAGAACTCGCGAGGAGAGTGGTTCCAGGAACATGGTGGAAGACAATCGATGTTTGGGTTCCAGAGGAACAAGTATTGGCCATAACCGAATCAGGGCCTTCCAGGGACACTCAGAGCACAATAACTGACACTTTCCGAAGCACCAAATAAATAGCGAGGAAGGGCTACATTCCTACCACGTTTGTACGATACATACAGCACAAGGAGATACAAATGGAGCAGGAGTTAATTAACTGAATACGAGAAGCTGCTTGATAAGAGTGGATAATAAAGAGATTACACAGGCACTAGCTTGTTTGGAGTTA